CACAGTGCAATCAAATTAGAACTCAAGGTTAAGAAACTCACTCAAAATCACACAATGACATGGAAGTTGAAAAACCTGCTTGTGAATGACTACTGGATAAATAACAAAATTAAGGCCAAAATAAATAAGTTATTTGAAACTAATGACAACAAAAACACAACATACCAGAATCTCTGGGACAGAGCTAAAGCAGTGTTTAGAAGGAAATTTATAGTACTAAATGCCCACAGAAGAAAGCAGGAAAGATCTAAAATCAACACCCTAACATCACAATTAAAAGAACTAGAGAAGCAAGAGCAAACAAATTCAAAAGCTTGCAGAAGATAAGAAATAACTAAGATTCGGAGCAGAACTGACAGAGATAGAGACACAAAAAAACCTTCAAAAAAATCAGTGAATCCAGGAGCTGGTTTGTTGAAAAGATTAACAAAATAGATAAACCACTACCCAGACAAATAAAGAAGAAAAGAGAGAAGAATCAAATAGACACAATTAAAAAATGATAAAGGGGATATCACCACTGATCCCACAGAAATACAAACTACTATTAGAGAATACTATAAACACCACTATGCAAATAAACTAGAATATCTAGAATAAATTGATAAATTCCTGGACACATACACCCTCCCAAGACTAAACCAGGGAGAATTCAAATCTCTGAATACACTAATAACAAGTTCTGAAATTGAGGAAGTAATTAATAGCCTACCAACCAAAAAAAGCCCAGGACCAGATGGATTCACATCCGAATTCTACCAGAGGTACAAAGAGGAGCTGGTACCATTGCTTCTGAAACAATTCCAAACAATAGAAAAACGGGGGACTCCTCCCTAATTCATTTTATGAGGTTAGCATCATCCTGATACCAAAACCTGGCAGAGACACAACTAAAAAAGAAAATTTCAAGCCAATATCCCTGATGAATATCAATGCAAAAAACTTCAATAAAATACTGGCAAGCCAAATCCAGCAGCACATCAAAAAGTTTATCCACCACAATCAAGTCAGCTTCATCCCTGGGATGCAAGATTGGTTCAACATATGCAAATCAATAAACGTAATCCATCACATAAACAGAACCAATGAAAAAAAACACATGATTATCTCAATAGATGCAGAAAAAGCCTTTGATAAAATTCAACACCCCTTCATGCTAAAAACTCTCAGTAAACTAGGTATTGATGGAACGTATCTCAAAATAATAAGAGCTATTTATGACAAACCCACAGCCAATATCATACTGAATGGACAAATGCTGGAAGCATTCCCTTTGAAAACCGGCACAAGACAAGGATGCCCTTTCTCACCACTCCTATTCAACACAGTATTGGAAGTTCTGGCCAGGGAAATCAGGCAATAGAAAGAAATAAAGCGTATTCAAATAGGAAGAGAGAAAGTCAAAGTATCTCTGTTTTCAGATGACATGACTGTCTATGTAGAAAACCCCATCCTCTCAGCCCAAAATCTTCTTAAGCTAATAAGCAACTTCAATAAAGTCTCAGGATACAAAATCAATGTGCAAAAATCACAAGCATTCCTATATACCAATAATAGACAAACAGAGAGCCAAATCATGAGTGAATGCCCATTTACAATTGCTACAAAGACAATAAAATACCTAGGAATACAACTTACAAGGAATGTGAAGGACCTCTTCAAGAAGAACTACAAACCACTGCTCAAGGAAGTAAGAGTGGACACAAACAAATGGAAAAACATTCCATGCTCATGGATAAGAAAATCAGTATTGTGGAAATGGCCATACTGCCCAAAGTAATTTATAGATTAAATGCTATCCCCCCCCGCCACCCCCCCCCACATCAAGCTACCATTGACTTTCTTCACAGAATTAGAAAAAAACTACTTTAAATTTCAAATGGAAGCAAAAACGAGCCCATATAGCCAAGACAATCCTAAACAAAAAGAACAAAGCTGGGGGCATCACACTACCTGACTTCAAACTATACTACAAGGCTTAAATAGTAACCAAAACAGCATGGTACTGATACCAAAACAGACACATAGACCAATAGAATAGAACAGAGGCCTCAGAAATAATGCCACACACTTACAACCATCTGATCTGTGACAAATCTGACAAAAACAAACAACAGGGAAGGGATTCTCTGTTTAATAAATGGTGTTGGGAAAACTGGTTAGCCATATGCAGAAAACTGAAACTGGACCCCTTCCTTACAACTTATATAAAAATTAACTCAAGATGCATTAGACTTAAATGTAGGACCTAAAACCATAAAAACCCTAGAAGAAAACCTAGGCAATACCATGCAGGACATAGGCATGGGCAAAGACTTCATGACTAAAACACCAAAAGCATTGGCAACAAAAGTCAAAATAGACAAATGGGACCTAATTAAACTTAAGAGCTTCTGCACAGCAAAGGAAACTATCATCACAGTGAACAGGCAACCTATAGAATGGGAGAAAATTTTGGCAATCTACCCATCTGGCAAAGGGCTAATATCCAGAATCTACAAGGAACTTAAATTTACAAGAAAGAAACAACCAATCAAAAAGTGGGCAAAGGATATGAACAGTTCTCAAAAGAAGATGTTTATACAGCCAACAAACATATGAAAAAAAGCTCATCATCACTGGTCATTAGAGAAATGCAAATCAAAACCTCAATGAGATACCATCTCACGCCAGTTAGAATGGCAATCATAAAAAGTCAGGAAACAACAGATGCTGGAGAGGATGTGGAGAAACAGAAAGGCTTTTACACTGTTGGTGGGAGTGTAGATTAGTTCAACTATTGTGGAATACAGTGTGGCAATTCCTCAAGGATCTAGAACCAGAAATACCATTTGACCCAGCACCCCATTACTGGGTATATACCCAAAGGATTATAAATCATTCTACTATAAAGACACATGCACATGTATGTTTTATTGCAGCACTATTCACAATAGCAAAGACTTGGAACCAACCCAAATGCCCATCAATGACAGACTGGATGAAGAAAATGTGGCACATATACACCATGGAATACTATGCAGCCATGAAAAGGGATGAGTTGATGTCCTTTACAGGGACATGGATGAGGTTGGAAACTATCATTTTCAGCAAACTAACACAGGAACAGAAAACCAGATGCTGCATGTTCTCACTCGTAAGTGGGAGCTGAACAATAAGAACATATGGACGCAGGGAGGGGAACATCACACACCGGGGCCTGTTGGGGGGTGGGAGGCTAGGGGAGAGATAGCATTAGATGAAATACCTAATGTAGATAATGGGCTGATGGGTGCCAAAAACCACCATGGCACGTGTATACCTATGTAACAAACCTGCATGTTCTGCACATGTACCCCAGAACTTAAAGTCTAATTTTTTAAAAAGATCTTTTTCTTTATAAACCTATAAAATCTGACAGTGCTCTGTGTGATTTCATATAACGCATCATTATTCACAGTCACTATCATATAACACCAACTGGTAGTGAATGAGTGCAGCCATATGCAAAGGGTGGCAATTCTTTTGGATCCATTTCCTTCAGGTTCTCTCTGCTGGTTCTAAATTCTATTTATCTAGATTCTTTCATCTATGGCATTTGGAAAAAATAAAAATGAATCCAAATCCAAAAAATCCCTTTGTACATCGATATACAGGCATTTCACCTTAGATATTCTGGGATTATATATATATATATATATATATATATATATATATATATATGTATTTCTCCAGAGGGCTGTGTGCCTACAACATTAAAGAATAATTCTGCTGGGGCTGGGAGGCAGGAATAGATGAATGGTCCTACATGTGGCTTTTAAAAAGAGATCAAAACAGAATCAAAAGAGAATGTTGTTACCACTCTACAAGGAAATTGTGTTTCCTTGTTACCTCTCTACAAGTAAAGAATTTCATTACCTCTCTACAAGGAAATTTTGTTGTCTATCTACAAGGAAATGAATTATAAGTTTTAAAACAATAAAAATCAGATAAAACTCATCTATGGGGAGAGAAATAAGAACAGCGGTTGTCCATGGTCGGGAGAGGGATTGATTCACAAAACGCATGGTGGTGACACAGCGGTGGTGGCGGGGGGAGGGGCTTTCTTGGGGGAGGGAAATGTTCTACATCTCAATCTGGGGGTAGGTTATGGGGTACATGTATTTGTTAAGACTGATCCAACTGTATACTTAATTTCTGTGTATTTTACTGTGTATAATCACATTTCAATAGAAAAGGAAAAAGAAAACAAATGACAATGATGAAAATCAGGGTAAGAGTCAAGAGATTTGCAATGCAGTCCCAGCAAGGAGATTAGCTGGGTGTGTCACCTTCCACCCCTTTGAGTGTTCAGATTCTTCCTCTGGAAAACAAAATTTGGGCCAAGGGACTGTTAAAAAAAAATAGGAAGAAAAACATAATACTAAAAATACTGAGTCTTTACTCCCTTACACTAGCTGGAGTCACACTTTGTAGATAAACATCCTTTCCTAAAGGGGGTACACCAGAATCACGGTCCTCCTTATTCTTCCAGAGAATCTTGGCATCCAGTGCCACCCTAAGGACCGGGGAGTTCTTAGTAGGAAGAAAAAAGGTGCACCCAAGTCTCGGTTCACTAAATCACTAGTGTAAAAGGAAAAATCTTTCTAGCCAGAGTTAGGCAACTAAAACATAAAAGCACAAGCCAAGGAAGTATGGATACAACTCATATACCATCAGTGGCCACAAACCCAATTGTGGGTACCTAGAAACTGTCTCACCTGAGCAGTTCACTAAAGACTCCTACTTCTGAAAGGGAGACTCTCTGCAGAGAGAATTGGGGTGAGGCAATTTGGAAGTCATTCCTATTCTATTGCTAACACTCAGTCTTCCCTCTAGCCCAAAGAAGAACAAAATAACTTGAGTAACTATGGCCCTAAGAGCTCTTTCACATCTGCATCCAGAGTATAAATACCCTTTACTGACTTTCCAAAGGGAGTCTTACTCTGAAGACAAGAACTCAATGAACATCAATTCCTTACCTCTCTCCGAATCTTAGTGTAAGGATCTTCTGGACATTGTACTGGTGGATTCACTTTGACTCCTAATTTCCTTAAAAAGTTTCTTGTGAATGTATCACAGTCATAAATCTTGAATATCCTGCCATAGAAGACAACCTCTGTGCCGACATTAAAATGATACACGGTATAAAACTGATCCTCATCAGGAGGCGGGAGAGTAATCCGATGACGCCGGATAGAAGTCCCTATGGCATGAAAGAAAATACAACTGTTTTATCATGTGGCTAACAAGTAAGAAGATACAGCACATTCACTATCAACCCGGAATACTTTCACACAACAGAAAACTGGGCAAAAGGCTCATTCTAGGAAACAGCATTAGTACATTCCAACTCTGAGGGAGTCAGAAGGAGCTGAGACTTCGAGGTTCAGAACTCTGTGGCCAGCCTTGCATGTGGTTAGAGTTGTGTTAAGTGGTGGTAGGGAAGTATTTTAATAAACCATAAAGACTAGGGTAAGGATGGGGGATGAAGGACGGGGACATTGTCAGAATGACCAAAAGTACCAGACGCTGCCATCATGTCTTTTCCTAGAACAAGCCTGTTCACATTCAGCCACCAGCAAGCACTCAATTACTCAATATGAGCACGCTCAACAAGGCATTAAGGCACCAATGTAGAGTGCTCACAAAAATGCATACTCATGTCTCAAAAGACAAACGCTAATAAGCTTTGGAATGAGAGGTGTCAACATGGACTTAGAAGTTTTAATAACAATGAATGACTTTCAGCTGCTGTGAAGTTTCATGGAATCTTCTTTTGTCTATCAACCTATTTTTCCTCCTCCTTCCTCTCTATAGCCTCTGTCCACCTCCACTGAACCACTACCTCAAATGAGGGTTACTAGAGGCTTCCTAGTTCTAGCCAGTGCTCTGGGCCAAAAGCTCTAGGTCTCATCCCATCTTCTACTTCCAACCCTGATGCCCGTTCATTTCTCCTCTTGAGAATATGTTCCCAGGGTCCCCTACGTATATCCAAAAGAGTGGTCAGCCACTGGAGGTAAAAGAGTTCCTTGCCTACATGAACATACCAACTATATCATACCATATCAGCTAAGTTACCCAAATATTGCTGCAGTCTGTTGTCAAGGATTGTTTAGGGGCCAGGCACAATGGTTCATGCCTGCAATCCCACCACTTTCACAGGCCAAGGCAGGCAGATTGCTTGAGCCCAAGAGTTCAAGACCAGCCTGGGCAACATGGCAAAATCCTGTCTCTACAAAAGAAAAAAAAATTCATTAAAAAAAAATTAGCTGGGTGCGGTGGTGCCCACCTGTGGTCCCAGCTACTTGGGCGGCTGAAAGGTGGGAAGATTGCTTAAGCCCAGGAGGTTGAGACTAAAGTGAGCCATGATCACACCACTGCACTCTAGCTTGGGCAACAGAGCAAGACCCTGTCTCAAAACAAATAAACAAGAAGAATTGTTTAGGGTTTGAGATTTTATCCTACTTGCAAGATGACAAGTTAGCTTTCCATAGCTTCGTGGCTGCTGGTAGAAGACAGGAGGTGCCTTGGTCAGAGCCAAAAGGCAGTTTATTAATCAACAGTAGCAAGAGTAGCCTGAATATCAGCATTTCTTGCTCCCGTTTCCTAAGCCCCAGTTCCCACAGGATGACACAGTAAGGGCCAGGTAACATTTGCACATTATAGGAGAGGAACCATTAGCTTAGGGAACCCAAATCTTTTATAATAAGCAATAAGTATCCCTGCTTTTGGCTCAGAGGGAGCTACTATCTTTATTAGACTTTATTCTGGAAGGAGACACTAAGCCTCTATCTTCCAAGACTATAAGCAAACCTATACTTTGCTCCAGAGGAAGAGACTATTTTTGTTTTCTATAGCTACTTGCTATATAAACATCCTTGAAGAGATAGTCCAGAACAAAGAGAAGTCAGTGCCTTACAGAAATGCATGATACCCATGGAGAATTGTCTCTCAATATCTGTCACTGACTTAGGCCTGAGAATCTACTCCAAGAACAACGAGAAAAGGAAAGCAGAGCAAACTGTGGATCTAATGATTCAATAAAAATTGGCTTGTGAGAACTCTGCATGTAGGTATTTTAATATAAAGACGTCAACCTATCGTCTTTGTATTTTATACAGCACTGAGAATGGTGCCTTTTCTCAAAGTCTAGAGACACTGTAGGAATTAGTCATTCCTTATTCATTAAGGAATATTTAATGAATATCTTTATGTGCCAGGAACTGTGTTGGGCTCTCTTCCATTATTCTACTTATCATCTTTTCACTCTGTTGAGGGGAAATTAACTAAAATCATTTTCAGCTTTTCTTTGCAGCAATTTTTAATTACTTGGTGCATTAAATTAAAATAATAAAACTATAAAATTAGAACTGGCCTAGAATATTTTTAAATGTACTACATAAAAGATGATTTTATTGCAAAAAAATTATACTTCGATTAGCCTTTAATTCATAGCACTGAAAACAGTATGCAAATTATTTAATCATTCAAGATTAGACATTTAGAACAAATTGCATACTTCAACATGTATAAAAGGACAGGCATTTCAGGTATTTTCAGGAACCATTATATACCACACTTTAAAAATACTTATATTGTGACAGTTTTTAAAATGTATAAGAATTATTCAACAGTCAGGAGCTTCTTCAAAAATTCCATCTATCTTGCATTTTACTTCATTATAAAAATTCAAATAAGCAAGTTAGTGCTGATTTTTGTTCAGTAAGACTTTGGATAGGAATCCTTCATTTTTCTAGGTGAGAAAAACTGGTTCACCCACTGGGCTTTTAAATAATACTAATCACAATCATCATCATAGCCCTAAGATAAACTTTCATTTACATTTTCCCATTTAATCCTCAATAATTACAAAAGACAGATAATACATGAAATATGAATATTCAGTTTAAGGATGAGAAAACCAAAGCTCAGAGTGGTTAAATGCCATACCCAAGGTCACGCCCTAACAAATGGCAGTAAAAGATCTTGAAGCTGGGTTTTCAGACTCTAAATAAATACCATTACTTTCCATAGTCTGCAGTGAGCTGTAATTCACTGTACTGCAGCTACGTATTACTTGAGGAGGAAAAGCATAGGCATAACAGGAGGGAAATGGATAAAAGAGCTACCAGCCACCATGAAAAGAAAAGAGAGAAGATGGAGTTGCTCTTCTGAAAGAAGTCTCTCTCTGCTCTCAGGGGAAATTTCCAGAGATGCCCGCCCACTGCTGTGGCAATGCATCCTGCAGGGCCTGCCCCACCAGGTGACTTGTCTCTCCCAGGAGCCTGCAGATCTCAGGCCCCCTCCCCCTACTCTTTCATCTCTTAGCCTCCACACTTCTCTCACTAGATGCTTCTCAGAAAGGGCCAGAGAAGTTCTTCTTGGTGACAAAAAAAGAGTCCCAAACATTCGTGAGTTAGAAAGAAAAGACAGATTTAACACTAATAAAATTTTGATAACCAAAAATCTAATGTCACAATTCCATACTAATCAGAAAACCAATGTGGGCCATTTGAAATGTACAGTTGCACATGAGAGCTTTCAATAACATATTCTTAAGGTTTCTCAACTGTGTCCTTTGAGAATTAAAATTTCTTATTATCGGGATTTATGTGTTTTTAGTCTTCCATGATACATGGCAGAAACTCCATCAGCAGGAATTTGTTCTGGGATATCAAAGAAATGGGCAGGATATGTGTCTGTGGCCCACACTGAAGAGCAGGTGAAATCATCAAGGCGGATAAATAAGGATATTGCTAAAAAACGGAAAAACAACTAAAGCACTGCACTTGCCCTTTAAAGTTTCATGTATTTATCTTAACTACCCCATAAAGACAATTGGGACAGATGTCCAGGGATCAGGTACCTGCTTTCCAGCTTTTCCTCTTCACCATGTTTTACATCTCTCTTCCTTTGTAAAAGCCCTGTTATCTGGCTATACTCTGCAAGCTTTAACTTTCTAACATTTCCCTGTGGTTTAGATCAAAGTGACCATATATCCATTTATGTTTAATGTGTTTTCATGTTATTCAATTGGGAATTGCCTCAGATCTTTACTCATACCACTAAGTTTACTTTCCTGGAATTCACCTTCCAGAATTAAGACTCCAATCTCTCACATCTATTTTATTATTTATTTATTTATTTATTTATTCATTTTTGAGACAGGGTCTCACTTCATTGCCTAGGCTAGAGCACAGTGGCATAATCATGAATGAATGCAGCCTCAACCTCCCAAGCTTAAGCGATCCTCCCTACCTCAGCCTCCCGAGTAGCTGAGATTATAGGCATGCACCACCACACCCGGCTAATTTTTTATATTTGGTAGAGACAGAATCTTGCTTTGTTGCCCAGACCGGTCTTAAACTCTTGGTCTCAGGTGATCCTTTTGCCTTGGCATCCCAAAGTGCTGGGATTACAGTCGTAAGCCACCACATCTGGGTCACCACTATTTTAAGTATGTTAATTTCATTTTAGTAATGCTGCATACCCAGAGTACATCCAAGTCTAAAGGCAGATATTTCTTAGGTAAATGAAGATATAACTGCAATTGCCACTTGTCATCACATCTGCAAGTCTGTGCCCTAAAAATACTAAGAGCCTTAACCACAATCAGACAACAGAGTGTCTTTTCTTCCCCTTTTGTGTACTATATTCCTCCACTAAAATGACTACTACAGTTTTACTTTTGTTTTTCTAAAATATCACCTTTAGAGTTCTGGTTTCACAAGAATAACTATTTTTATATACATAGCCTGGCACCTATCTTGCAGCAAAAGAATAAGAAACTTAAAATTCCACATTTCTGTGCACAATAAGAAATAGTAACCCTATGCATCTCCCCTTTAGCCATTGAATAAGCACCAAAATAACAGATGCTTTAATGTCCTCTTGCCCAGTTTTCCCTATTCAATCTATGATCTGCTCCCAAACAGTTCCCAATTTCTTGTCCTATCACTTTATCTTAGGTTGCTCCTTTTGACTATTCTGCCTTTCTCTTCCATCTTTATCTAGAGAAACTTTTGAGGTATCAATCAAATGCCAGCTTCTCTAGTAGATACTGGCTTTTCCTCCTCTGATCCCTCTAGTACCTGGTTCCCTCCCCAGTGTTCACCCTCTAGGGTTACCAGATTTAGCAAATTAAAATATGGGCTGCTTGGTTAAATTTGAACTCAGATAAACAACAAAGAATTCTTTTTTTAA